TTTCAGGTATGTCATTACAATGATGATAAAATAAGGATATTTTAGGCATATAATATTTTTACAGATTCATAGGCTCTTGAGTCCTTCTTGCTTCAAGCTTTCGGAATCACACCAGGTCATGTATTTAGGATATATTGCACGTGAAGGAACCAAATAAATTAAAAATATAATATATAGTGGATATTAAATTACAGGTATGCCATTACAAAGATGATAAAATAAGGATATTTTAGGCATATAATATTTTTACAGATTCATAGGCTCTTTTATAATAGTATAGATAAAAAGTCGAAACACTTAGCAACAGACATGGATGGTGCATCGCATTGAATGTATTAAAAAGGATTAAACCGAAAAAAATAAATAAATAAATAAAAGGTTGAAACACAAAAGCAGCTTAGAACATGCCAGTAGCCAGCAGGGAGAGAACACATCATTGGAATTTTTTTGTTTAATGCCAACTTAAAAAGAGTTAACTTATTAGAGATTAGGCAACTTAATAAGGCTTCTTCCAGGTTCCCCGGTCCACGGCGTTCTCCCCAGGCCTTTTGTGATTGCATCTCTTGCAGGAGGCATTCCTGCCGAAATTCATGAAATCGCATCTGCAAGTATGACACAAATTGTGATATTTTTATTAATATATATATAAGGGACTTTATCTGTCAAGAATAGAATTTATTTTGCAAGAGCAGCCAGAGAAAAGCCAGGTAAGTGAACTTACTCGGGGCACTCCCAATCCCCTTCCTTCAGCTGCCTCTGAAGGCGCGGCGCTTGACAGCGGTGACACTGCCTCTTGCTTGCAAAATTCATGAACGAACAACTGAAAGGAACAAAAAAGCCAGCAGAAGGAAAAATCAGAGAATGTTAGATAATCATCAGCAGATATAATATCCAAGAAACATGCGTTTCATTCGCAAACGTCATAATAATGTATACTATAATGATATTTACATCTTCCTGAATATTGGATGTTTACAATACACACTATTTGGTTTTCTGCTGGAATTATTTTTAGAAAAGAAAGCTTTTGGCATGCTCTATTAGGTGCAATTTCGTGTTTTGGTTTAAAAGAATATCTCCAATCCCAGTATAGTTTTTTACTAATGATGGCTAATTTGCAGGAGATACAAACAAAAGGATCAAGCTCCAGAAATGAAGTGGTCAAAACATGGAGATACTGTCTACATCCAATTCGTACTATGAAAGATAATAAAAAATATAACCAAATGCGACGAGATTGTGTAATTAAACCATCAACAACTTCCATAAATCAATAAAAGCACAAATTTTGTTAACTTACCTTGGGCAGTTCCAGTCTCCTTTTTTCATTTTAGTTTCATCATTGGGTACGCTCTTGTTTACCTCTAGGTCACATTGTCGACATCGTGTATTTCTGGCAAAATTCAAAAAGTTGCACCTGCAATAATTTGTTGCACACAAAATCATGACTTTTGGGGCTTTTTCCACGATTACATTGCTGTCAAGTTTATGAAGAACCTAGCAACCATATTGATAATCCAGTAGGTATGAAAAAAAAAAA